GTGTTCCAAACGTGGTCGGGTGCTGGCTTGTGCTCGTTGACGAACTCCTGCCAGAACTTGTAGAAGTTGTGCAGACGATCATCTTCCGGCGAGGTCATCCTGTTGGCCTCGTAGATGCGGGCGAGTCGAAGGCTGATGCGATCGTGCCTTCGGAGGAAGCCCTGCAACCACGACTTCCCCGGGCCCTTGTCGGGGTCCCATGGGATCGGCCGGCCGTCGTTGCAGAGCTGTCTCACACGCTCCTTCAGGTCGTTCCTCGTGAGAGGAATATAGTTCCGACCAGCGTACAGCAGCACATCTTTTTCGCGCATTTTCTTCCTCTTTCGTCAGCACAGTCCCGTGGCCAACCCGTGCGTCCATGTCGCACTCACCGCTCAGGCGCCGCAGTAGCGAGGTCTTGCTCAACCCAAAGGCAGCAGCGGCAGCGTAGCGTGACATGCTGCCGTTGCGGACCGCTGCACACGCCTTCTCGGCCGCTGCGGAGTCCACTCTACTCCGACCCATGCTTAGCAGCAAGGCGGACAAAAGTGCTAGTCTACGCAGAATCATCCGTGCTGGTGCATCTGGTGCTGTAGCTCGTGGTGGAATGGTCGGATCGTCGCGCTGAGGTGCGCAAACGAAAGCTAACGCATTCGCGAGAAATTCAAAAAAAAATGGAGGGGGACGGCAGATTTTGCACCGAGATATGCCCATTTGAAAAAAGTGGTCCTTATAGGGGGGGCGGTCCTTAATACCCGCCCTTACTCTAAATAGTACATCGGCAGATCAAGACCCAAGCTGAGTCTCCTATCCCAACCACGTGATCGACTGTGCAGGTGCAAAAAAAAATCGATGACCTCACAAGGCTGGATCGATCCCTATATGAAGCGGGCAAGAAGGAGTTCGAGAAGGTATGGGATTCAATCCGGCCAATGTTAGACAAGACAACCTACTATCAACAAGTAGTTCAAATAGGACGAAATCATCACCCTCGTTCCACTCATCACTGAAGTGAGAATTCTACGAAGTGAGCGCCATGTCGCGCGCCCTGTCGTCCTTTGACTTTCTTTGACAGCCAAAGTTGCAGTGTAAGTATCTCCACGTTGTTGGCCGCGTCGATCTTTGAACCCGTGTCGTGTGTGTTGTTGTTCGTTCGCGTTCCATCTATTCTGGGCACCAGTCTCAACTTTTCGGTGTAACAGTCTAGACTATGATGCACTGGCCGGGGTCACACGAAGAAGGTACACACACTGGAGTTCGTTGTCTTCATTCTTTCTGCAATTCTTTTGAATTCCTTCAATTTGCTTCCAAGGGATGAAGAAAATGTATGCAAACGCGCCCCCATCATGTTCCACCTACTGCATGCTGTCTTCACGTCTCGCCGCAGGTATCGAAGCATGAACGTCTACAAGGAACCGCCCGACAATCACCTTTCTTTTCTGAACACGCCAGAACAGCTACTTACGCGTCTTTTTTGCTTTGGACGTTGAAACGGAGAAAATCCGGTGAAAGCGCTGTGGCACTGACGTATTGTCGCTCGCACACGCACACATACCCTTTGATTAGTGTTCGTTCGTGTGTTTTATGGCGGCGCTACAAGAAGGCTGATGATGTCGTTCGTTCACCACTGGTCAACCGGTTGTTAGGGCGGATCTAGTGCTGCTGATGTAGAAACTACGACACACACACACCTGGTGGATGCATCATCATCACCAGACGAGCCTGTGGCGTAATAAGTAAGTACCTGGTGCCTTTAACACACGACCCTCGAGAGAGTCGTGGTAAGGACCAGATGAACAACAACAGCAAGCGCCTTTTTTATGTATAATACATGCAATTTTACTGAATCATAAAATGTCTTGTAAAGGGTACATCTTGCCGCCGCAGGTGAACTTATGTAGTACATAAGTTCGTACTACGTAGGGCGCTGCAGATGGATGCATTACGTTGCTGTGGAGTGGGCTGCTGCTTGTTGTACTGATATGACGAAGAGTTTGACAGCAACTTTGTTTGGTTGTACAGTAGACACATCTTGGGGCGTGAGTGACAAAGTTTTGTAGCATTTGGAAAGCTTCGAGGCAGATACGGCCGCGGACCGATTTCGCCACCGCGATACGGAACGTTGCTTAATTCATTTCATGCTACTTGCGACTTTTTACCTGTTTTTCTTGGTCGGGGAGACTTTTGCTCGCATTCTCGAAAGAATCACGATTGATTGACGAGACACTCCTTAATTAACAAGAGTCAAGAAGCTGCGTGAACACTTTTTGATTTTTTATAATACCGGGTGATTCATGAAGTTAATTCAACTCTTGCTGGATGTAAGTTTTGTGAGATTTCGAGGACCGCTGGGCTACTTGATTGACAAGGGTGAACGAATCACGATTGACGAGAGCGTCAAGAAGCTGCGTGAACAACACTTGTTGATTTTTATGTACCGGGTGAAGTTAATTCAAGTCTTTCTGGATGTTGTAAGTTTTGTGAGATTTCGAGGACCGCTGGGCTATCTGACGAGGGTGAACGAATGGAAAGTGTGTGTTTTGTTTTCGTCCTAGTTATTATTATGGCGACAGTCACCCCATTTTTCGTGGTGAGATGTGTACCTCACTTTTCAGGGTAATTTTTCGTACTACAATTACAACCATCCAGGGTCACACAAGAGGGGGTGAACACCGAGACTTCAAAGAAAGCTATTTTTCTTTTCTCTTCTTCTTTTCATACCCCACCTTCCTGCGGTGCGTGTGGAAAAGAGGGTTTCGTCCTCGACAGACGTTGGGGAGTTTCAACCTTTATGAAGGTGTTCTCCACATTACCCCCCCCTTTTTCGGGGCTTCTTCTTGTTTGCTAGCCTAGGCAAGAGAAGTCTTCTTGGGGTAACCGGAGCCCGACCGGCTGGCGGCGAGTAGAACCACCTTTTTTTCCAACAATCTCCTGTGCGTGTGTGCGGGTAAACCACTTCCGCCACGCATTGCCAGAAGTTTCGAGTTCGATAGACAATGCATCGTTTCTTGGCCCACCCACCGTTTTTCTTTTTCCGTACTCCGGAAGAAAATTAGGTGATCAGCGGGTTTTGAACCCGTGACTTTTGCAACCAAAAGCAGACACTTGACATCTCTTCGTCGACGCCATTGTGAAAAAGGGGGTTTCGTCCGCGGCAGACATTGGGGAGTTTCAACCTTTATGAAGGTGTTCTCCACATGCGTACTGAATTTTATTTTATATCGCGATAACTGTCCAGCCGTCCCTTTCCCTCGTAAACGGTGCTAACGTCGACGTTTGGTACTCACGAGAGCCTTGCCGTCTAATAATTTCTTACTTTCACTCGCACATTACACAGTTTCGGACTGGGATTCCAAATTTTCCGGTTTAAGGAAGCAGACTTGGAGATAAAAAAGCTTCCTGGAAACTTCGTGCAGGTGAAATTTTTCACATTTAAGCGGCTTCACGTGATTGGCTGTGGGTCAACAGCAGTCCTCCCACGAACTTCCCCTGTCCGCAGGTGCTGCTATTTTTTCGTGGTGCGCTGCGTGACAGCTGTTCACCTTGATGACAGGGAAGGGGCTCCTACTGCTGCTGCTACTGATTGATTGCGTGCATGCGTGCGCGTGTCGTGTCAGTCTGCGTCGCTCCCTCAATCTCAGCACACGAAAATCGCACCACACCAGTTCAGAGACAGGAAGTGATAACTGCTGTACACTGGCCAACAGCCTCGGAACGAAGTGCAATGTCGCGTTTCAAGCGTTCTTCGGAAAAGAGACGGGGGGTTTGGGACCGGGAGGCACATCCGAGTCAAACGCTCTTTCCAGTGGACACCACAGAAAATACTCTTGCGCGCGGAAGGACCCGCCCGCCTTCACCAGGAGGAGTTCACTGCGTGCTCTTCCTCCTCCCTGCTTCTTCTTTGCTTGCGGTGTTGCCACCACCTCTACGTTCGTGCGCTCTTCTTCCCCCTTGCCTTAATCTGACGGGCGTGTTGCTGACCTCAAGCCAGCCGCAAATAAACCCAATTTCTGACCGTGCAGCCTCCCTGTTTTTGTGTTGGTGGCGCGCCAACTCCAAGGCCTTTCGCTGGGCGCTGGCCTTCTGTTTGGCTGCGCTGACATGTTTCCAGCAAACTGCTTTGTGTGTGCGGTGGTGCATGTGATGTGTTGCTATGAAGTTGCTAAATTGAAAAATCGTGAAACAAAATCTACAAAGCGAGCCTCTCTCGGCTCTTAAATCTGTGAATTTTTTCCTTGTTGTGGGTTCTGGCGAGACTGTCAGGAGCGATCCTCAGAACGACGGCTTGACTCAAAACATGTTTCCTCAATTGGGAATATTTTGGAGTCCGAAACTGTGATTATGTAAATGTTTCACTCCATGGGGATACGAGGTAACGACTTTGCGACTAGCGGTTTTCGAGATGACCACTAGACCACCGGGGCGACCGGTAAAAGTGAAACACGACGAAACGAGCTGAAGCTTCTAGACTTTTACCGTCAGCGGGCAGGCACTTAATATGCTCGTCCCCCCTGGGTAGCGCACAATGTATCAAATTCTCCACTAATAACTACGTACGGGATAACCTCGCGGGTTAATCAGCGAAATGAGATGCTCCACTGACGCATCGGGAACGACATGGTAGAACGCTTGCGCTTCATAAGCAACGCCTTCGTCAGCACGGGATTTTGGGGGTATTGAGTACAACCGATTGTGGTTGTAACCGGAGAGGTGTGAAGTGAATACCACACACAACAAAGCTTTGTGGGTGTGTGATCAAGTTGCTGCATACGTTGCAAACACAAGGACAAACCAGCTTTGCAATCCAGCTCCGATTCGCTGTTCGTGCCACCAAAAGAGCGGCAAATCCTCCCCTCATATGGCAAAAGAACTGTCATCCTTTAGCGACACCGCTACGATTGTCGAGCAAGAGTACGTCACTTTCTACGACAAACGCTCAAAAATCACCCCTAAATTTACAGACGCTATCTACCTTCTTTTTACTGGACCCTATTCTGCGCCAGCCGTCCTCTGGGTAGTGACAGCGTAAACCCCCACCAGCGAGGGTACATGTCATCAACAACACCCCACCAACGGCAACATCACCGTATTGTAACAACGAACGGAAACGCGTTGATTCACTTCAAGGTCAACAGCCCATCCGTAAGCGACGATATTTTGCCTTCAGCCGCGCCCGACTTCCCCTTTGCCGGGGCAGGCGAAGCCGGCAGAGGTGTTAGCCCCCCCCTGTTGGCACCAGCCCCCCCCCCCGAGCGGTTGGTTCGCCTTCTTTGCCGTCCAGGAGTGAGCTCACCGCCGAAAGGTGTGTCGGCGCTCTGCCGCTGAGCTAGCCTCGCCGCCAGGCTTCGAGCGGCGGGCGTCACTGCCGCAGCCTTTCCCTTTCCCTTTCCCTTCGCAGGTGTCCTCCCACCCCTGGGCGTTCGTTTCCCCGTCCCGGGGGTTCGTCGTCCTGTGCCGGGCGTCTGAGGGGTCATCGGTGTTGCCGGCGCGGGCGTGTGCGTCCCCCGTCCGTCTGCGGCCGCGCCGGCCCCAACCTTCGCTCGCTTCCGGCGAGTGTCTACGGCCTCGAGGCGGTGCGCAAGCTTGTCTCGCGCAGGGAGATCTTTAATCTCGAACTGCTGGTGGCCAGCCCCGCCAACGACGCCTCCAAGTGTCTCCATGAAGCTCGCCACGTCCATGGCCCCCCTGCCGGCCTCTGGGAGAGGAGTTGCACGCGGGTCGAGGATGATGGGAGTGCCGTCGATGGAACCCCAAGTGATCTGCGGAGAGTCTCCATCCACGCCTGGTACTCTCGAAGGTGTCATAGGTACTTCCTCGTACCCCGATGAGTCCGCCGTTCCCGCCAATAGCTCCGCAACGGATTCCCGCGACGACGACGGCTTCTCAATTGGGGATGCCCAATACCCTCGGCTTGGTTTGCGTGGGGCGGGGACCGGGAACCTCGTTGCATGGGCCTGAATAACCTTGGGGTTCGCTTTGACGACTACCGCACCGCGCGACACTGGTGGTGCTGGTCGTTGTGGTGCGGGCGGCTCATCGGTCCGTGATTCCGATGATCCAAAATCATCAACGCCTTTGTTCGAGTCTACGCAAGGCGGGCAATGTGAAGGTTCGTCCATTTCGGTCCGCTGTGTCGATACTCCTGCGTTCGGTGGCCCCGAAGAATGATTTTCAGGATCGCCCTGGTGCGGTTGGTAGGGAGTCGCGGTGAGAGCTTCGTCGCTAAAGGGCGAGGAAGAATAACCTCCTCCAGTTACCGCGACTGCTGTTACTGCGGCTGCCCCGGACGACTCTGAAGAATTGCAGTCGCCATCTGCAGATTCTTTGGTAGATGTTGCTGTAGCCCGCGCCGCCCTCTTCACGACCTCTTCCGATTGCTTGATTACTCTTCGCATTATTGCCGTCGTCGATGTTGACCCGTCCTTCACAAGAAGCTGAGCAGCCTCCGTAGGCGCTTGCTCGATTCTGCATACATCATTCGACGCTGCCAAGTTCGGAGAAAACATAAGCTGGTTTCGTGTCCTGTGCTTCCAGGTCTTCACCTGCAGCAAGCAGCAAGATACGGCAACAGGTGAAACACAACTTATTCATAACCGCGTGGGGAATTACATCCGTCCTACGTGTACGGAGTAAGGAGACGATGTTGCAGAAACAGCTGTGATATCGTCGGCTGAATGCGGCGATTGCTATGATCCTCCAACAACGAGGTGTGCCATTCAAAAACATTGACGGGAAAGCACCCCGTACAGACAATATTCAAGTTTACAAAAGGGAGTAGCAATACTGGATGACGGGGGAAATGTTTGTCGATGTGCGCAACTAAGTGCGAAGGTATCTTGAGTGACAGGACTGGCTAAAGGTCGTGAACCGACGTGGTGATTCCCAAACAAAGCCTGGCATGTTTGGGGTTCGGAAAAGCACGAGGTAGTAGTACCTCCGTCTACTACGCGCCACGCTAATGTGCTCTGCACTGCACTCAAGTCTGCGACGTCTCACCTGATTTGGTCGTGAATCTCCTATTTTTGGACGATCTGCGCAAGCTGCGTCCATTTGCTCTCGCCGCTCGACGGACATCATCTTGCCGTTGGGGAGTATCAACAATTTGGTAGACGTGGCGTTGTTGCCCTCCCCGTCTGGTGTGGTATCGTAAGCCCAGAAATATCGCCTTCGAAAAGCCTCTTGGTCTTTCTCCTGAAATCGAATGCGGATCAAGGCGATTGTTGTTTTCACATTAAACTCGTGCCAGTTGCTAATCACAAGATCTAGCAAAGACTCGGTCCGACTGGGTAAAGCAAACAGACGGCATTGATGTGAGCCGTCTCACGGCAAAGGAGCACAAAACATAGATCGGTGCAGCTGAAGAAGCAGAGGGATGGAAACTCCACGCCAGTGAGGATGAGCACCCCAGTGCCATCACAAGACTGAAACCAACCCATGACTGCCGTGCATCGGTTACTTACAGTAGGTCATTTTTGTGAGGGAAGTTACAGTAGATCATTATCTTGCCGCCCCTCTCACCTGTAGCTCGGCGAAGGCTTCGTTGTCCTCCGACGTATGTGTCGCCACGAACTTGGTGAGGGCGCCGCCGTTTCCCGCGTCTTTCGAGGACGATGGTCCCTCCGAATCGCCCCCATTCACTCGAAGCTCCAGGCCATTCCCATCAGTAGACTCGCGACTACTCCGTAGCCCAGTCACAGGGGTGCCTACCATGGAGCCACCTGCCGGTGTGCGGGAAGGTGTGGGGTCTTGGCCATGGTCGGCAAGCCCAGCGAGGGCTCGATACATCTTGGCGTTATTAGGGAAGTAGTCCCCTTCAATTATCTCCCCCAGGCGCCCCACGTACTCTTCCTCCTCGAGAACCGTCTTTTTCAGCGGAACTGATCGCCCTTTTGGTAGTGGTGGGGCCATGGGGAGGGCGATTCCTCCACTCCCGGGACGAGGTCTCGGTCGCTGTATTCCCCCCTCCCCGCGTGCGTGCCATGCCCGTGGATCCTCCAACCGCGCAAGAGTGGTTGGTGTTGCCGCTTCGAATTTATTCCCATCCGCAGTGATCATCTTTGGCCGCGCCCCGTTTACGGGCATGTTGGTGGTCATCGCATCTACGGCAGCAGCAGCAGCAGTTAGCTGGAGCTCTGTGCGCGGTACGCTGTAACAGCTTTAATCCGAACTGCAACAGCAGTCGGGCTGGCTCACGACGGGCAGGCCAAAAAGCAGGAGTGAGAACCAGTTCCGTGATGTTTTTTGGGTCAAACACAACACACCTCGAGTAAAGGATAGGAGCTGAAGGTGATGACGTGGTGATGACCTGTGAAGAGCGAGGCAAGAGGTGGCAGGTGGAGAGGACAGCAGCGGTGCAGGGTCACATCAATAAAGGCCCCGTGAAATAGTTGGGCTTATTTGACAATCCACACGCCCGTTATCTCATCCATAGTCCCCCCATGCTGCAGCTCACCAGACACACACGTTCCTCTGTGCGGCACTGTTTCCACGCGGCGGACATGGCAGAAGAAGGCTCCGGGGTGCCCCTCGTGGGCTCTCGCATTAGCCTCATCTCCAAGAAGAACATTCGCTACGAGGGAACTTTGTACAACATCAACACCAGCGATGCTTCTCTGGCACTCCAAAATGGCAAGTGTGGCGGATAATGGTTACACAAGTCTAGCCGTTCCCTCCCCCTCTTTTGATGTACAGCCGTAGGTGCCTCTGCAGTACACCGGCAACCTTCATTCCTGTTCTTTTACCGAAAAGAGAAGTGGGTAAAGGCGCCAGGAAGGGAGATGGTTGTCCATGCCATGCCATGAGTTGTATTTCGTCGTTCACTTGGAGAAGTGTACACCAACTGACCTAGCGCACGCAGTCAACCTGGCACCAGAGTGCCGGTTCGAACGTGCGAGCGCTGTACCCAGCACAGCCTCGCGCCAACCGACTCGAGACTAGCTCCCGGTGATGGCGGCCCCCGCATGAATGGTTTTCACTCCGCGACACGAATGAACAGTAGCCGCCTGGAGGCCTACTTGAGTTCATATCTCATGACCCGCAATGGGTACATGGAGGGCGTTTTTGTCTTCGCTCGCTCTCGATCTCACTTCCAAACGGGTACTACTGCTGCTGTACCCCTTTCTTGTTGATTGCTGTGAACTGTGAACACATGCAGTGCGAAGCTTCGGGACCGAGGGGAGAGTAGAGGAACACGTCATTCCTCCAAGTCAAGTCCTTCATGATTTCGTGTGCTTCCGGGGTCAGGACATAATGGATCTCCACGTGCACGACGCAGAGGCCGATGAGGTAGGTGTTTGGTTGTGTTCGTGTGTAAATACACGACCAATCGCGAGGCACCCAACATCAACAATGTACTTCCGTTACCACAGGATGCGTCGTGTGTTTGCATACCAGGTTCCCATGATGACGCCCCGCAATCGTTGGGGGCAGCAGCGCGGGGCTGGGTCGATGGGCGGGTACCAACTAATTGGTTTTCGCTCGAAAGCTGTGTTCCAGGCGGATCTTTCGATGGGTCAGTTCCGTTAATTCGTGTTTGGGATGTATCTACGAACGTCACGATTCCGTTGAGAATTTTGACTTTGTCGTTCGCACCAGTTATTAATTAATCGACTTGGCGGCTGACAATGTTTGCCTTTGAATGCAGGGAAGCCAGGAGGCGCCACCGCCACCGTCGCCACCACCGCCGCCCACTGCTCCTGTTCGATTCGCCCAACCACCTCAGCCGACTGGTCCTCCGCCTCCAGGTGGCCCTCCACCCCTCCTCAGCCCCGCCGTTGTATCGGTGAGTGCCGGCTGTTGACGGCGTGGGTCCAGGCAGATCGGCGCTAATGGTGCTGCAGCTGTTTCTTGCGAGCCCTACTTTTTCGCGTCTCTTGGGAGAGAGGTCATTTGCATCGTACATTCAAGCTGACGCCTTTCGTCTATGTTAAATGTGACAAAGTTGCTCATGATGCGAAGTTGTGGGCATGGGAATCCTGATGTGAGACGGTGAGTGCTTGCTTGTCAAAACATCAGTTCATTGTGTGAAGGCGCAAGTGCTGTTTGAGGGACACTTGTTAATACCAAGAACGAATCGTTGCGTTTTCGCTGTCGTTCAACTGCTGTCAATTCTCATGCCCAGCATCAGCAGCAGCCGTACCAGCCGCAGCCCCACCAGCCTCCGCCACAGCCGCAGCGGCAGCCGCCGCCACCGCCGCCACCGCAGCAGCAGCAGCAGCCGATACCACCACCGCCGCAGCCGCCGCAGCAGCAGCAGCAGCAGCCCCCGCCCCCCCCACCACAACAGCACGCGCGAGCTCTACAAGTCAACAACGCTCAGCAGCAACAAAAGCAGCAGCCGAGAGCACTCACGAGCGCAACGTCCGGATCGCAAAGGTGTTGTTCTCCTCAATTCGCCATTTCGGTTTATCCAAGAATATATGTTTCATGCGATACTTCAAACGCTGTCGATTTTGTTTCGTTTTACAGAACGAGAGATGTGTAGTCTAGCATGTCACCGAGATACGAGCTAGTATTTCAAGTCCTGCTCGCCGATGGTGTTCTCAGCGGTAGTCACTCACACTGGAATGTCTCGCCGTCCCTTACACCGTGGCGCCTTAGGGTTAGGTGGTGGCTTTGGTGAAGAGAAGATTTTCATAAATATTGACCTTGTGTATGAGGTTCTCCTTGCCTTGACAGGGCTACGAATGGGCCTCAGGATGGGCGTCCTGCTCGGCAGCAGGCTACGCAAGCTGGCCAGAGGCAGCCAGCCCCTTCGGCAAGACCGGCGCCTGTAGCGCGTGGAGCACAGCAACGGAGGGCCGCGCCCGCCTCGTCGTCGCCCCGTGTAGCACAAGCAGCTGGGCAGGCTGCTCAACAAAACCAACGTAGGGCCCCGACGGGACAAAGGCAGCCCCCTCGGTCACAGCAACACCAGCACCCCTCGCAGGTGCTTGATTTTGCGTGATGTGTGTATATATGCATAGCTTCCTTCTCAAGCAGGAGCATTTATTCCGTCCGGACAAGGTTGGCCATACACGTATGGCTGTCGTGCCGAATTGTGTGAAAATTTGCAGATATTTCGAACTTATTTGATGCTCCTCCGCGATATCCTATCTTCCCAAGATGTTACGCGTGAGTGAGGTGCCTACATCGACAGTTACGAGCCTACGCGCAGAAGGTGGTACTGTTAGAATATAGAGCAAGTCCATTAGTAACTGCTGTACCCGTGTACCATCCTGTCGCTTAGATATACGTTTTTTTCCTTCAAACCATGCCGTTTCGACCCACAACACTGCTGTTTTTTCTGGTGTGCAGCCAACGGGAGCACCGCGGGGCCGGGGGAACGGCACACCTAGATCTCGTCAGCCAATTAATGGGGGTGGTGCGGGTAGGGGAGCAGCTGGTGGCACTAGCGCCACCTCAGCCCCCGCTCGGACGCCTGGGGTAAGAGCTCGTACAATCATAGTTTGATCTGTGCACCCTCACGAAAGTTGAACTGCTTTTTGCGCTCTGCAGGAATGACTGGCGAGAGGCATGCCTTGTTTGTTGTGGTGATGGACTGCTGGTCCTTCTTGTGATGGATTCAAGTTTGCCTGTGGCGGCTGACTTGCTATGCAAGCAGTGGCAAGCTTTGTGGTTTGTGTCTGGTTCGAGACAGTTTTGCCAGTGCTCGGAGGCTCAATGATGATGGCTGCCCACAACGGATCGCTCACATGGTTGAGGAACGTCAACGTAGCGTGCCGCTCCTTGGTCGAACTACACCGACCGACTGCTGATCCGAAGCTAGGGTTTTAACACCCTGTTGCTTGGCCTCGTGCAAGTGGTATAGGCATGCGTTGATGTGTGACGGGGACATCGTCCGAACATGTACGCATCGGACGTGTGGATAGCTTCGTCACCCATTAAACAAGGTGCACCGTCTCGTTTTCTTGTTGCTGGTGGGGTGCTGGCAGCTTTTTTTTATCGGTGCCTTCTCTCAATGTTGGTGGACACCCGTCTGTTGTTCCATTCAGGCGATGGTGGGCACTGGAGAAGCCCTGCTCAATATCCGAGCCAGAGGTGGACCGGCGACGGACGGGAAGGGGGCGGCAAGCGTTCCCACCGCGCAGGAGTTTGACTTCCAAAGCGAGCTCCAGAAGTTTGACAAGGTGCCTGTATACAAAACTCTGCACCCATTTTGGGCACGAACAAGGGCGCAGTTGTCGGAAGAAGCCGAGTTCCGTTGGTCATTTGTAGTCATCCAGCAAACTTCGGTCCGGGGTGGATGGATATCCTGCTATTATAGCTATGCGAGAGCGCACTCCAGCTGGCGAGGTATTTCAGTTGTATGCCGAGGGATGCATGTGTGTGTTACGTGTCAGCATCACAAATCGTGTCCAGGATTGTTCGAAAATGGAAAGTGTGCACGGTCTGCACCGCTCCTGGCTACGGCGTAGAACGTGAATTTGTCACGTATGGTCACGTGTTCCGTGGGATGAAAGTTTTCGGCGGACCGCAAGCATGGCATAAGATTCCGGCCGGTGGCGTATCGCAGTCTGCCTTGCTTAGGTCTATTGCAAGGTTGTATGGTAGTGCTTTCGTTTATCAGTACGTCTCATAACTCCTCATATTTATTTGGCAGGAAAAAGAGCTGGCTAAGGAAATGGGGGGATTGAGCATGGAGGCGTCCAACTCCACGGCGTCATCGGGAGGTACTGGAGGGGCCACGGACGGCGTGAAAAAGTACAACAAGTCTTCGTTCTTCGATGAGATTTCGTGCGACGTGTTGGACCGTGCCGCAGGTGCGGGAGGAAGAGAGTTGACGACAGTTGCTTTATTGTTTCACAGGACACGCGTTAAGCTGGCTAGGTTTCGCGATGGAGGACAATGCAGCTGCACTCTCTGTGTCTTGCGCACGTCTAGAGTATGCTGTCTTGCAGCAATCGCTGATGTGTATTGTGATGATGGGTCGGAATCTTATCAATCTATGGCATTCACCTTCACGTCTTTCGTTTTTGTCCGACGTCTCATCAGGGCGTCAGCCGCGTGTAACGCGCGCGGCAGAGATGGACATGAACATGGACACATTTGGGACAACGGGCTTACAACACGCCCGACGCCGAGGCGGACGAGGTCACAACCGGAACAAACTTGGAGGAGGTGGGACCGGCGGTGGGGGCCAAGGCACCCGCGGCGGAGTAGGAGCAGGGGGCACCGGGGCCGGGGTCGGGGCCGGTACCGCTAACAGTGGGCGGGGAGGCGGTGGCGGTGGTCGTGGAGGAGCTGCTCGGGGTTCTGGAGGTGGTGGCCGTGCTAGAGGCGGAGGTGGTGGCCGTGGTAACGCAAGGGGTGGGTATACTGCCGGTGGCAGAGGCGGGGCGGGACAGGCGCGACCAAAGCCAAAGGGCGGGAGAGGACGGGGTGGCAACGCCCCCCAAGGTCAGCAGCCCACGCCAGGACCCACCTCGGCCCCTCAGGTCCAAGCGGTATAGTGAGGTGGCCCCTCGGGCCCAACCTCTGCCCCCCCCCCTACCCCCCCGCGTCTCTCTCAGCTATTTGCTACGATTTGTTCATCGGGAAGGAGAGGCGAGAACGAGCGTCCACGTGCGGAAGCGGAGGTGGAGGGAGCGTCCTGCTTGGGAGGATGCCACTGTTGCGGGACCCTTTTTCGTTGAAAGCGACCCCGCGCAGTTGCATGAAATTTCGGTCAAGAGAAAGTGCGGCCACGCAGTTTGTGGCAAAGCCATATTCGCTGCGTACAACGAAGGAAGCCCGTCTAGTTATTGTCACTGTACGGATTTGGAGCACGTGATAGTGGCTTTGTAGATTTTCTCTACCGTAGGATCTCAAGGATCGGATGGCCTCAAACAACGTTAGTTTTAGTGGATGGTCGACGTTTGTCGTTCAGAATGGAAGCTTGAGTCATGTAGAGCATGTGTGTGCGTATGGTGACAAAAACAAGCGATAATAGCTACACGGACTCTTAGGTGTTCACGGTTCGAGTATAACACGGTTTCATGCTCATTTTGTGAAATGGACTTGTTCTTTGTGTTCTTATTTGGAAGATGAAGTGTAATGGACTACCAACACGTGGCTCTCACGGAGCACCTGTTGCTGTTGGGGCTGGCTGTGTACCGACGATTTGATGTTCCAAGTCCTAAGTTGTACCTGCCCGCAGTATGCCCTTGAGGTTCCCAATCTGAATGCATATGGATAGGTGCAACGTCCTCCGGATATGTGGTATGAGTTGACCCCAAGGCTCGTAAACTCTGTCATCCAAGCGCCCTTAGTGTTCCTGTCGGTCATTGCTGTGGCTGGAATCTGATTGGCCGTGCACCACATCATCCTGCATTCCAAACACCAGCCAACCCCTTCCCAAAAAACAAGAAGCACGGCCCTGTTGTATGCTGCACCGTGTACAACGTCCTCGTGTTTACCGCACCCCGCAGCGCCATGGGCAGCCTGTGCCTTTGGCTTTCCCTCTCCCATGAAACAAAACACGCCCAGCTCCCGAGAAGCATGCATTTCGAAGTTGTGGAATTTCTGCAGATGCGCCGCCCCCGGCCTGGCGGACTGGGGAACACGGCCAACAAACCATACAGACAGGTGGTGACACGTTTACCTGCGGTTCTGTCAAATGAACGACTTGCAGAAAATTAAGGAACGGCTGCGCCATCCGATGCCACAGCGAAGAAGGGCCTGACGGTAACGACCAACCGTAGGCTTACATCCATCCTTCGCCGGCCTAGAATCACCGGACTACGCTGCCCGTGAAAATAAAGAGGTTCCTACAAGTTAATACTAATTCCACCGCCCAGAAGTGACACGCCCACAATACACATAAACACCCGATGGGCCACACCACACCAACTACGGATGGGTCTGTCTACGTTCAGTCCCGTGCACACCACATGCGATCCGCCCGCTGGCGCACGTTGTCCTACTATGGCTCTTCGATGCGGTCAAACACAAATGAGGGGCGATACGCATGTTTAGCATAGCCACTATAATTCATGACGCCTTGGTGGTGCTGAGACGGACTCCCCCCCCACCCCCACACGTTGAATCCGTGTGCCTCCTGGCTTGTCCCGCGGGGGCCTGGTCGTGGTGCTGCGCTGCAACAATGCATGGCATTCACCATCACCATCGACCACACCATTGGCACTCACAAAGTCATCTTTTGCAGCAGCACCATAGTACGCACGATCACCCAGAGGTATTCTCTGTTGGTATCTGTGGATACGGAAGCAGCAGCTGGAGCAGGGCAAGGAGCGGGCCGTAGTTTCTGTCGTGCGGCCTGTCTCTCTTTGGGCCTCCTTCTACTGCTGTAGGTGCTCGGTGCTTTTTCTCTCTGCCTCCACTTCCTCTATCTGCACTTCCATCACACTTACCTGTGGAGTTGAAGCACACATCGGGATAAGGTGGGCGTGTGTTTCCTTTTGGATGAAAGAAAAGTTTGTATCAACACAGCAGTATGGAAGTGGTACATGTACTTCGAAGTGAGAAACTGCTGTCCTGACAGACGTACAACCAAATGACTGCTGTTACGATAGACAGACGCACAACCGTACCACCATGATCCCATCGAGAGAGCACCATCTCATGTCACAAGCAAGCGATATCTAGACAGCGCCGGGCATGTGTACTCAACGACTTTTAAAGGGGGATTCACCACCTTCGAGTGAGGAGTGCCGGCAGTGTCATCTTCAATATTATAAGTTCAAGAAAAGTTTGGAAATCGAAGAAGCGAGTATTTCAGATGGATCCAACCTAGGGGGGAGGAGTCTGAAATTGGTGTTTATTGGAGTTGATGAGAAGTGAGCATTTATTATTGTGTGCAATGGGGATGTCTGCGTGCGTATAGAAGAGGAGGCATGCGCACCGAGCGAAGACAGCTGCTCGCAGGACATTCTGTTTGCGCCCGATCTCGTTGAAGCATCATCAGTTGTGGAGCACAGGGACTGCTAAACGTACGAGTGGACAACACTGCCAGCTACTACCTGTTAAGACGTTCTGTTCCGGGGAGCTAGTGTTGTCTTCTTCGCCGGCGGGGCGAAGACCAAGAATCGGAGCGACGGAGTTCATACGCCGTTTTCGGAGAAGAAGCGTCGACCACTTTGGAAATTGATCGGTGCATCGGCGGCAAGCCGGCCGGGGGCGGAGATATGAGCGGGGACGAGCACTCCTCCGACGAGTCCGTGATCGGCCGCGGCGAGTATGAGGCGTCGCGGCAGGACAGCGCTAACGAGCGAGCCGTCATCTGCGCCTCGGTGGAGGACCTGAAGGCCGAGATGGGGGTGAGGTTCACGGAGGTGCTGGCAGCCGTGCGTGATCGGGGCGGCGGGGCCGCCGCGGGTGGCGCTGCCGGAGCTGCACCAGCGCCCGGATATGGGGGCGCGCGTGCAGCTGCCGGCGTGGCGCCGGCGCCCATGTATGGGGGCGCGAGCGCGGGTTACGGGCTCCACCGCGTGGAGTCGAGTCCCGGGTTGCTGCAGGGCGCTGGTCGGTATGGCAGTGGGGGTGGCTTAGGCTTCACTCCCGCGATTTCGTCCCCGTTTGGAGCGGGAGGCCTTAACGTCGACTCCGGGGGATACGGGATGGGCACGGGGATGTCGTACGCCCAGCGGCGGATGGAAAAGGTGATCTCGGACCAGCGGGTGAACGCTTGGAGCGCGGTGAACAGCCGCATGTGGTGGGTGGTGATGGGATGTTTTCCGCCGAAGTTAGAGAAGCCGAGCTTGCAAGGGTTAATGCATGATAGTTTTGAAGTCACGGACGCGGTGGCCGACATGCTGTTGAACTTTCGTGGCTTTGACCCTGTTGCCTTCGCGCCCCGGGGGGCGGGTGGGGAACGGATCCCCATCGCAACGCATTTGAGCCTTATGGCGGGGGCCTTTATCACCATCGCCCGCCGGGGGATCGTCGACGACCCGAGGTTGGCGGCGGCAGTGAAAGCGCGGGTGGATCGTGTCGAAGCCTCGTTCCAGGCGGTCATCGACGACGTGGAGCGGCACACTCGGGAGAATTACGCGGCCATTCAAATGCCGCACAACCGCGACATCTTCTTGACGTTCATCGTCAAGGATATGGACAGGTACACGCGCGACGTACAGATGTTCGCGGACGAGATGCAGCGGCGCTTCGTTCTCCCTCCGCCATCGGCCGCCCTCCCGCCCGCCCCCC